AGTGCTTCTCAAGCCAGCTTTGCTACACAGCCGCATTGAAGGCAGATCCCGAGCCCGGCCAGACACGTTGGGAACCAAGCCAAGAGATCGAGCAGCTCCCCGCAGCGTGCTGGGAAGCCAGGAGCTGCAATAACACAGGCCTAAGCTCTGGCTTGATTTCGGAGTCAAGGACTGCACCAGGGCAAGGGGACCCGCTGAGCAGCCTCCACCCTGCAGCATCCTTCGGTGTCCCCATGTCAGAGCAGCAGCCGTCCTCAATGCATGGGTCCTGAGACCGCCCAGGATGCTCAGAACCTGGCCTGAACCCCCTGGGAACCTACCAGCGCCCCTCCGTCCCAGGCTTCTCCATATGATGGCCCACACGTGGCATTACATGGAAGATAAGACCCAGCCCTCTCCTCCCAGCTCCCCCCCGGACACGTCCCCAAGGGTGAACACAGCTCCTGCCCTCACCCAGCTCACCCACACCCCACCTCCGAGGGCAGGGAGAGGCTTCTCCCCCATTCAGAGCCCCAGAGGTGTAGCTCTCCCCGTCCTGCCTACCTGGGCAGGGACTGGGTCACACCACCTGCATTAATGCCGGCAGCTCTGGCCATGCCACATACCTGGTTGTGCTTGGAGATGGACTCGTAGGCTCTCTGCACAGCCCGGAAATCCTTCACTTTGTCCCGCAGGGAGTTCTCCATGTTCCTCCACTTTGCCTGCAGCGGGGGATAGCCAAGAAGAGGCTGGGATTAGGAGCGAAGGGAGCAGAAGGGGTCACAGAGATGGGCATATGCAAGCTGACGCTTCCCTCCAGCACCGTCTGATCTCGGAGGGCCAAGAGCAGCTCATCAGCAACAAACCAACCTGCTTTTAGGCCTTGGGACTTCCTTTCCTTTCAAGACCCTGGGACTTCTGTAGGGGCATCAGTCCCAGAACGGCGGGGCTGGCAGGGCTCTCCAGTGTCCATCTAGTTCAGCCCCTGCTCACGCAGGACCAGCCCCTCTGAATCAGCCCAGCCAAGTGTCTGTCTAACCTGCTCTTAAAACACTTCCAAAGATGGAGATCCCACTCCCTCTCAAGGCAGCCTGTTGCAATGCTGGGTCACCCTCCATGTGAGGGAGTTCCTCCTAGTTTCCAACCTCCGTTTCCCCCGCTGCGGTTTGAAGACGTTGCTCCTCGTCCTCTCAGCTGCAGGCGCGGAGAGCAGTCTGCATCCCCTGCATAAGTCACTCTCCAGACTCAGTAATCCCAGTTCTTTCAGCCCTTCCCCATGTGTCAGGCTTCCCAGGCCCCGAGTCACGCATGTGGCTCTGCACTGGACTCTTTATACTTAATCCACAGCTTTCTTGAAGGCAGAGCCCCAAAGCCCAGCAACCCTACAATCCTCCCAAAGACCAGAGCTCGCCAGCATGGGGGAGACCCTGGGTAACACCTCCCTTAGCACCTCCACTGCTGCAGCCTGTGGATATCCATCCAGCTGGTTTTAAACCCTTGCTGGAGCAGGCCCCGGCAGCATGGAGCTCAGCCGATAACCTGGATGGAGGCTATGGGTGGGCAGCTGCTCTGGGCTCCATCCTAACCTCCATCCCTGGCTCGTGGGTCTGAAGGATACCTATGCTCCAGGTCAGCCTCCAATGCTGGATGCTCCCCCAGGGGACAGATTAGCCCCCTACCCTCCTCTGGAGCCCAGCAGCCCTGCGCGGCTCGGGAGCTGCAGCGGCAAATCACGGCAGACCCCCTCCAGCTCCGGCTGGGAGCCCACGTACCACAGCCAACACAGGTCAGTTATGCGCGCCTGTTATTCCCAACCGGTGCAGACAGCAGAGCGCCTTGGACGGCCGAGGCGGTCACAGGCCAGCAGCAGCAGAGCGGAGCGTGCTGGAGAAAGGACCCTGGGCCACGTGCATCCTGCATCACATCCCCGGGTTGCTTCTTCCCTCGTTCTCGCCGGCAGGAAGCAGCAAGAGGGTTAGGGCCTGACTCACTTGTGCCTTCCCCGCGGAGCAGTGCTCTGCCCTCGGCCCCCCTCGCCGCAGGGGTTACGAAACCAGCTGCCCAGCCACCCAACGGCTGCACGTTCGAACTCGAGCGCGTCCCTCCCTGCTGCTGACTCACTCCCCCAGCTCCTGGCTGACGTCCCGCTCCTACGCTAGGCCAAGGGAACGGCTTGGAAAGCCGCCGTGCTGGCTGCTTTTCCAGACCCCCTCTGCATGGGAGCTCAGACCCTCCGCCCATCCTAGCTCTAAGCAGAAGTCCCTGCTGCTCCCCTGCAAACCCCAGCCCTCCTGGGGCCCGGCTGATACCCCTTACCAGATGCTGGGATGCTGTTCACCGTCTAATGCCACCAGCCCCAGCTCTCAGGGCAAGCCCCCGTCCTGCCGTCCTTGCACAGCCCTTGGTTTGGGTGTAGGGGCCAAAAAGCAGCGGAGCCTGGGCGCAAAGGGCTGGCGGGCTGCCTTGCACACCCCAGCAGCAGGAAGGGGAAGGGAGGGGAAAGGAAAGGAGGAGCCCAGCAGGTACAGTCACCTCCTAAGCCAAGCCAAGCTGACCCAGCTAGGAAGCCACACACATCGTCAGGTCCCCTGCGGGCAAGGGGAGAGACCCGGGCCTTTGGCTCAGGCTGTGCCCCAATGCTGCACCTGCTTTGCTGCGTTTGCTAGCAGACTCCCCCCCCCCCCCC